AATTATGTTTAATGCATTTGTGGATGCAAAAGTTGAAATTTTGAAAATGTTTGTTTTTCTAAATTTTCTTTATAAGTGAACTTTGCTTGTCTCTCCGTCTGTCTTTTTCCATCCGTCTGTCCGTCCGACTGTCCGTCCGACTGTGCGTCCCACTGTGCGTCCGACTATCCGTCCGTGTCTACGTCCGTCTGTGTGTCCGTCTGTGACGAGCGTTAGTGGCTAAATCATACATCAAAATTGATACATGCCTATCGATCTACAAGGGGATTCAAAACCTTTGGATTTTAAGCGTATCTTTTCTGTTCTTTAATTTACTATTCATATTTAAAATGAAGTTCCTAGAATATTTTCAATATTTTCTCATAAATTACTTCCAATTTTTTATTGATTTATGCTGAACAATGTATGCTTGTAAAATTGGCAGAGGTTCGGTTTTGAAAAAAGTTTCGAAAATGGCAAAATCAGTTTTTTTAAACAAAATATATGAATGCAACATGTAAATTACACACTTTGTTTTAAATGTCCTTACTTTTTTTTTGTTGCAGATTGTTGATGAAAATGTCGATCCTGAATGGACACTTCTTTATTATCTTCGGAACAAATGTATCCTTTAAAGTTGAAAAATAGTGGCATGGTTTGACATGGCAATGAAATGTAAGTTACTGCAATTGAACTTGGGAATATTAACGAAATTATATATTGTTCGATAAAAATGCCTGCAATGCGGATATTCTATGAAGAAATAAAACACACCACAATTAAAGAATAGAGTAAGTAACTCGACTTGTTTTCCAAATATTTTTTTATCTTAATCAACTATTTAAACGGGAGATTAGTGAATTCTATCTTTAGGGTAAAATTTAAGTAATTTTATTCAAATCCTCGTCACCCTCTCCCGTTGCTCCGCGTGAGCCGCTCCGCCGCGCACCGCCGCCGGCCGCCCTGCCCCGTTGCGCCACCACGGATACCGGCGTGCTTCGTCCTGCGCACGTTTTCTTGAGTTCCAGAATCTCTTTCTATCATTTTAACTATAAATAGTTAAAAGATGAGTAAAATTTTAAAATAAATAAATAAATATAAATTTTAAACAAGCAAAAGATTAGCAATATTTGAAAAAATAGACACATTTCGTTCCCGAGTAATAGAAAAATTATTTGCATCGATAAATGAATTGCAAGTATATTTTTCTTCATTGCTAACAAAATAGTAACTCACCTTTACCTCTACTCCTACGATTACAAGCAAAAGAAGAGTTCAACAAAACGTGCGCATAGTAAAGCTACATTCACGTCCAGAAGCAAAACAAGGGGCCATCTCAGCATTTGGTCAATGGATCAGGGAAACTCAACCAAAACCTGATCATGATGGGGGTCATTGACCCCGAAGTTAAAGTACATTATTTGTTACATACATATTAAGTCTTTTTAAAAAAAGATACAATACAAATGTAATACAAATGAAAATTTCCTTCGTTAACTATTAATTTGCTATTACAAAACCAATTTGAAACTTCTAAAATCGTACTATTCATTATTTCTTTTTTGCAAAGAACATTCGTGTCATTGGCAAACAGAACCGTTCTTCCGTTTTTAATAGACGGGGGCATATCGTTTACGTATAACAGAAAGAGGATACGACCTAAGATATTCAGACTCCATATTCAATTGGTAAAGAATTGGAAAGATAAGTAAATAATATCCTTTCGTACGGTATTTCTACTCTTTGAGATCATGACCGTTTATAACCCAGTGAAGTCAACATTATTCCATATTGTTCCAGGAGTATCATAGGCAATGCGGTGTCGCTTCTAATTTTGAAAATAATTTTTATTTAGAGAAAATTCTACATTTATTGTGAGTTGCCATCCCGCAGGCGGTAATGTCGCAGTGATCATTCTCGTTCCTGGACGACGGTTCGAATTCTTAACACTAGATTGCACACCTTTTATGAACTTTTCCTTAAAGAAATATGTATTACAATAATTCATACACTAGTTTACCAAACTTATGACTAATTTGTTTATTTTCATATCAAGTATTGTACACACCTACAAAAAGGTATCAAGGAGGCATCTCATCCCGTTTAAAGAGTTATACGAGTAAAACTAACATTGCTAGTTAAACTGAAGGAACAAACTCCGATTAAAAATGTTTTCTAATCCATTTAACGTTATTCTAAAAGGGCAAATGGTAGGAGTTTGATGTGCATGTATGATAATGAAATTGAATGATCTTGATGCATTTTATTTGAGGCAAAATTGCATTTGCTGCAACTCCTCAATTTTATCTAATGTGAAAAATAGTCTCCCAAAGAGAGGCGACTCATTAAACAATCTCGAGGTAGGTGCTCTTACAAAGCAGTAGCAGAAGGTTTTGGGCAGTAGGAAAGGAAATCTTACTGATCCATTCGAAGGCGCAAATAACTCCGAATCACTCACACAAGACGAGAGAGAAAATACAAAGGAAAACAACGCAAAGTTTACTTATAACTTAAACAGTACTAAATAAAAGCCCCTGACACATTCATTTAACTCATGAGATAAGGGGATGTTTGTCAAAAGGATTGTTTCCTCCGATCCGGACACAACTCGTAGTTACTTGCAATGTGTCTACGGATTGGGTCTAGAATTTTGCTACAACAAAACTCATTTTAATCTTGATATCGTTAATGAAGATTGGAAACGGTAAGTAATTTCAAATGAGCAGCATTTCATCGACATCAGTTGGAAATAATATTTATGAATTATGAAGAAATATAAAATAAACGAAATTAATTTTACAAACAAAAGTTTGCACGAAAAATAAACAAAACGTAATAAGTAAAAGTACGGACTAAAAAATAATAGACTAAAATTATTTAAACAATAATAACCTGACAACGAAAAACACGACAAGTTATAAAATTTTATTACATTTCCTACACGAAAATAAACTGAAATAAAAGCTGCAATATGTATCTCAACATAGTTGTGTTGAAGAGATTTTCCAAATACTGTTCAAATACAATGTAAATAGTCCTTTGAAATAATACCTTCAGTTCTGGAGGAAAAATTGGTTCTTGTGTAGGATCATATGGAGTGAATTCTCCGGGAGTAAACAATGCCTCTTCTTCGTTTTCAGCAGGGCGATTCTTGCAGCAGTTGCTTCCAAGAGAACATGTAGTGCCATTTGGAGTGCCGTTAGAGATTCGACTTTGTTCCCAATCCTCAGTAAATGTACCAAAACCTTCAATAATAGCACGGTATCCTGTACATCTGCAAAGATTTCCTGGAACAAAACAGTCACATTCAAAATCCTGGTACACAACTGTTCCTTATAGTTCCCTCAGAACAAAGGAGAGAACACTCATTAAAATTCTAGGAATAATAAAAGAATTGATTTTATTACCTTGAAGAGAGACCTCCAAGTCTTTCATTTTGGGTTTTGAAGAATTTCTGAGTAGCGTATACACTGACATTACAATTCCTGGTGTACAAAAGCCACATTGCGAGCCATGGGATTTCGCTATCCGCTCCTGGACAGGATGTAATTTTGTTTTCGTGCTTCCGATTCCTTCAACAGTGGTGACTGCTAATCCATGTAGAGAACATACTGGAGCCAGGCAAGCATTCACAGCTAGATGACTTCCTATGTTAAGATATATTTTCAAATGCATTGAATACATGCACAAATTATTACAAGATTAATGAAAACGCAACAACACGATTTTCTCCAAAATTGATATTTTACAGAAAACTTTAAATGCGACTGTTATTAGTTCAATACTTTGTATTAATTTATTCGGTCCCTTGTTATATCTGAACAGTCATTTATAACCTGCAGCATTCATCAATACATAAAGATTAACAACTTTCACATTTCATGAAAATAATTTACTGAAAGGCTCTCCCAATCCAAAATACAGAAAAATATAAAATTTCATAACATGAATTCCAAATATGTACGTTTGTTCCCTTGTTTGTACATTTGTACAATTTTTAGTCATTTTTTTCTCAAAAACGGCTCCACATTTTCCTTGACTTTTTTCTCGGTAATAGCAAAAGAGGATAAATAGTGTGTGCTGGTCCCATTTTAAGTCAATTATGTATTTTTGAAAACATTAATATTGCATAAGTACAATAGTGAAGAGAAAAATGTTTGTCTTAAATGAAACCTGTTCTAAAAAGCAGATATTTAAAAAGATTATGTACAACTTCTTGAAGGAAAAAACGAGTAGTATTGGGGTTATTGCTGCCTCAAATTAATACAATTTATAAAAACATTTTCCCAAAAAGAGCTCCAAATCTTTTTCTTTAAATTTATTACAGGCATGGAGCAAAGAACGCTAGACAATGGCGCAGGTCTCATTTCTCTAAGTTAGAAATAATAGGAGAGGTCATTAGTTTTTAAGCATCGACAAAAGTGAGTAGGTCCAAGGGACTGCATAGTGTAATGTGTAATGGTAAAGCGCATGGCGAGTAACTCTATGGATCGGAATTAGACTCTCGGAGCGGAGACATTTGATGCTTGGGCACATTTTAGAGGTTAATGTTATACAATAGTATAAAATTTCGTATCTGTTACAAATTATGTCAGAAATTGGGCTACAATAGCACTACTAGTTTTATTTAGGAAAAACATTGGGAGACACTATTTGCAGGTTCTTTAAAAAATCTAAATGGAAGGGCTTCATGTTAAGTTCGCCCGAAAATTAATAAAAGTCAAGTTTCAATTCGGAATGCCATGACATCAGCTGGTTTACCTGGGAATATCAATATTGGTGAAAATCCAGCGTCATGTTTAAGCGCTAGTGTTGCTTCCAAAGAGACGGGCAGATGTTTTGAGAGAAAACAACTTTTCGGTATCTGGGTCTCACAAAAATATATTTTGAGTTTGATTACTATGTATGTTAAAATATAATGCATTTCGCACAGGAGAAAGGAATGAATCGGGGGCCCAAGACACTATTTTTTCTGTCAAAATATAGACAGGATTTCCTGCGATATGCGATAACTTTCTCTGTTTGTAGAATATAAGAAAGTAAAAAATAAGTTGTGCAACATACCACCTGATTTGGATAATTGTACCCCGTGCTGCCGAAAATTGAAATTCAAACATTGATAGCTAAAACTTGTGACATTTAAATTTGGGGTCATGAGATTTTAGGCCAATACACAAGGCAGAAAATTTTGGATGTAACATGGGGTGACCATTTAAATCCGTCTCCTCAATTCTATTCCGTTTTTAAGAAAGGAATTAGAGAATAGACACAAACATTTATTTGTATACGTATGGGCAGAACACAATTTGATGATCTTGATATCTTTCAAAAAACACCTCCAAATATACTTAAGTAATATTAAATTCATCAAAAGGATACACTACAGTATTGGTTTGGCGAATTATTCGCGACACCATTACAGTGCATGCTCCACAGCCACCCTCCGCACATCCCAATTTCGTACCACAGAGACGTACTAATTCAGGTCAAGGAAAATAAACTCTTTTATTCTTACAAATAATACGACACTTATGTACACATACATACATACATACATGCATACATTCGCACACCTATGGACATAGAACATCAATAATAGTTTGTGATAAGTACACCAAAAGACCATTCACATTACAGAAAAGAATAACTTACTAATACGAACTGAATATCATATTTGTTTTATATTTTTTTTAAGGTCGCATCAACTACTAGGTCATTAGCGACCACTATTGCTTGTAACGGTATGGTAACTGTGGGTTGACACGATAACGATGATGATGATGATAGAGGGTGAAAGGACGAAACACAATACAACCATGCCCGAGGCGGGACTCGAACCCGCGATCCTTCGGTCCGAGTTCGCTACGGCACTACTGCCTTCGCGATCTCTGCCACCGGATCGGCTGTTTTATAATTGTTATGAAAAAATGAATGATTTTTCTTTTCTCAAAACAGTCCATCTGCAAGAAGATTGAAGCACAGGTTTACTAAAAATTATTAAACGTGTATATTCAGTTTTCAATAATTGGAGATCTCTTAAGTTACACAATAATAGTTATTGTACATATGTTATTGCACAATTAGTTCAATACAATTTTAAATATAAGCACAGGAAAGGGTACCTGAATGATACATTAAGTAAATTACACTACCAGGAAATAAAAAATGGAAACCGTGAAAGAAGAGAATGAGGACGCCCATTTTGCAGAAGACAAGCTAGACGGCAGGACAGGTGACCGTACGCATATAGCTGGGGCAGCCTGACCAGTTCTGGAACGGGAATATTTGGGAGGACTGGGTTATTCCAGGGGTTTTACAATAACATGGATTTCGTTTGAAACGGCCAGCTCGAAGGCAATCCCCGTTCGCACAGTTAACAGTCTGAAGGGGGTCAAAAAGGGGACTCCTAAAACCTGGGCTCCACAACATATCCGACGAGAAGTGTCAATAGTGCACCGATGTTAGCGCCGTTAGTCAGAGAAATCTGAATGAAGGTTTTCCAACTGCCTTAATAATAAATTCACGCAGAACTCACGTAAAAACAGTTTTTAGTCTTTATGTACGAGTGTTAGTCTTTTGTGTCACTGGCAATCAATAATGTAACCAAAAATATTTTGATTTGGCATTCATGTATCGTCGCGGACCGTGGCTGTACTGTTCCCTGCTTGCTAAATTGACTGACAGCAGGCTTGTTTGTGGTGTCATTGACCGGTGCCCTTTCAGCTAGTTGTCCAGGCTTGTTGAGCGATTCTTCACTGCTGACATCTTGGAATGGACAGAAGAACAGTCGTCGCGCTTACGCTGACTGCAACGAAGAGGAGATTTTCACTGTTGACACTGCATCTTTTTGAGATTCGCGCTGCAAAATTTAGAGCCATCTGCTTCCACTACAATTTAGTGCCTAGCCGATCTGTGCAGCTCGGCAACGTGCGTTTAAATGCGAGCGTTGCTCATGATCACTAGTTTATTTCCCGAGGACAACAATGTATGGATGCATGCCAAGATATTCGCAATGTACGAGGAGACATATTAAATCGTACAGGAATAAAAATTCATATTAGACGAGGGCTTTGACTTTGGAGTGTCTATTAGAGCCATCAGCTCTCTTTTATGGGAAGATGTTCTCTCATCACTCGTGACATTAGCCAGACTTCACTGTAACCGCATTGGACAGCATCAGAGGCCTTCAATAAATTATAACGCCATTACATTAAAAAAAAGTTCAGAGTAACACATAATAAAAAATCATATATTCATCATCTATTCAACGAGATAGATAGACGTTAAGTAACAATTGCTGCTACAGACGAACTGATCCAACTGCCGGGGGTGGTTTGGAAGCTTGAACACATTATCGTCTTGGCTTCTAGGCACCTTCTCCAATTCTCTAAAATAATAAAAGAATAAAGAAGGTAAGTAGCCGTAGGGTCAGTTGTACCTTTGACTGGTCAAAAGTACAATAGTACATGTTGGTCAAAGGTACAACACAAGTTCACTATTCACAAAATCAAGCGTGCTAAATGTGAGGTTAATTTGTTTCAAATGGTAAATTGCATATTTCATCTAGAAAGCCTGTCGGTCATATTTATAATTTTCACTATGATATAGATAAATATAATTTAAGTTACGACAAAATAATCCGAGCGAAATATTTTTGTTGGTTGCAAATAGATTTCTTTCTTATACACAACACTGGTGAAACTTTCCAAATAAAGACAAGACTTACAATACCTCTGGGAACAGGAGTATAAACTAGAAAAACCTACTTCGGTAATGTATCAGTAATACGCATACACTTAACCTGTCGTAAGGACTGGTTAAAGGTACAAAAGGTGAAAAGTACAGAAGGATGGAGCAAAGATGTATCAATGATTCCTTTAGCGTTTTCCTTTTCTTCAAAATCTTGTGGTATTATAATTCAGCACTAGTATTGTGACTGATGATATACGTAACTGCCATAAGGATTAAAATTGAACAATACGAACAACCGAGTTAGGTGATGCCTCGGCAACTGTCCATTTAGTGACAGATTACAGCTACTTGCAATAATGAGCAGCGCAATATGAATACACCATGTTGATTCCTATCAATCCAATAGCTCCTGTTCAAAGAATTGACATTGCTAAGCAGGTGGATGGCCAGCTTGGGGAGTTTTTCACCTGCGATCTAGGCAATTGACAACATATATATCAAATGAAAGAGCATCTTTTGTTTTTTAATGTTGCAAAATATTAAATTTTTGTCACAATTACAACAGAGTTACAAATGATTAACTTATGCAATGCAATAATTTTTTTCGAAAAAATTAGAAATTAATATAATTTCGAAAAATAATAGTTGAGAAAAAATGAAAAACAGATGTTTCATATTTTTGCTTATACTCTTCCCAGAAAAAAGTTCTTAACTCTGGAACATGGAATGATCCAATACAGTATATATCTTCTTATCGAAAACCCTGTTTTTCATTTGGTGCAGTTAAGTCTAAAAATCTGTCTTAATATTGTGGTATTTTACGGAATATATTATCAAACATTTAATATTCTACATTGCATCCCAATCCTTATACTTGCTTTTATAAACAAGGTGGAATTATGGTCTTTATTTGGAAAGTTTCACAAGTGTTCTTATTTATAAATAATGTATGTTATAAAGCAATATATATATATATATATATATATATATATATATATATATATATATATATATATATCATGTGTTTTAATTTAATAAAAATCAAATGTTAACAATGTACACCAATTTTATAACGTTTTATGACAAAGCTTCGGCAATGAAAGTCTTAAAATAATTCCGAAATACAATTTAACAAGTTTAACCCGAATATATAATTTTTATATTCAATTTTAAAAACCAGTATGATTACTTTCCCAGAAGGATCTTTCTTCATATCTTTGCAACGTCAGAATATTTGCTGGAAAAATAATCGTCCTCATATGTGGCCATTACCACGCATCAATTCACTAGGATTAAAAATAATACATTTATCTATATTCGTGCATGGTGTCATACGAAGAAGCTTAGTTTTATTGTTGACACTAAATATACCGACATTCTTACACTTTGAATTGTTAACGGGAATGTTGTTTTCATCTTGAAAATGAAATTAACTTACTTCTTCATATCTATTTACTAATATAGGATCTACGACATCGGAACATCGAATTCTTTCATCGTTTGACCACTAGTATCTAATGTTTGGAAAGTATGTTAATAATTATTTTTCCCCAAAACATAGCTATTCCCTTCAGATATAATTAAAAGTTTTCTTTCTCCTTTGAAATGCATACAAACGTGTCTTTTTTATAAGTTCGTTTAAATATATGTCTGGAAATGTGCTAAGGAAGGAATCTAAAGCAACGCGTCGTGTATTATATTTCTCAGAATACCTCGACATTCTTACGCTCCACTATTTTAGAAACCGTGTGTGGGCATCATTAAATTGGTTTCGGCATTGGTTCCAATGTCGAAAATTTAATTTTACATTCCATGATGCCCACAGAATTACCCTATACAGTAAAGTTTAACTTTTACTGTAGGATCTGAAAATGAATCATCGCTAGAACAACCTAAACCGTCGTTTGGAATTTCTTTCAAAATTTGAACTGGGAATGCACCCACATGTTTATTTCTTTCTGCGATATTTTACCGTTTGAGAAAGACGAGAAAAACTGGTATCTGATATTTATTATATTTTATTTCAAAAAGAGAATGAGCGTCAATAAAGAATGATAGAATCACGGTGATAACAGAGAAAAAGAACTAATATTTTTTTTATAAATTGTTGTATTGCGCGACAGAAAGATAAAATGAAACATTTCACGCAAAAGTAATACTTGGATCACACAAGGAATTAGAACATCGTGTAAAAGCACACGTACGCTTTACTTTATTTCTAAATATCAAAATGTATCACCCAATTTCCATGTCTATTTCCGAGAATACAAATAATTTTAAGGAAAGTAACAGTTCAGGCAAAAATTATGAAAAATAATCAGGATATTTTGAACAGTAGTAACAAAACTAAATCAATCAGTAGTAACAAAACAATGATATATAATGCATTAATTTACATTTGTATTGTTTAACTGAAAAGACATAATTTGCCGGTAACACGTAATGTACTCCAGCTTCCAGGTCAATGACCCCCATCTCGATCAGGTTTTTGTCCTGTTTCCTGAGTCATTGAGCAAATGCTTGTCCCTTGTTTTGCTTCTAGTCATAAATGAAGCTTCACTATGAGCACGTTTTGTTGAACTCTCGTTTTGCTTCTAATGGTGGTAGTGGTAGGATTAGAGCTGGAATGAATTGCTATTTTGTTAGCAATACAGAGGAATCAAATCGGAAGTTTGTGTGCTGATGCAAATGCGTTTTCCATAACTCGGGAAGGAAAATACCTAGTTTTCTAGAATTGTTGCTAATCTTACGTTCTTTAATTTTATTATTTTTTTTAAAACTTTTATTCATTTTTCAACTATAGTTCAT